TCCTGCATTTTCACCATTTCTTAGGACATTTAATTTGGTAGAACTTGATGCATACAGTACACTCAAACAATGGTAAAGAAAATGCTTCGTTACCCTTCATCGGCCGTCTTTAATCATAAACAAATACCCACAATCAAGAAATCCTACTTTCAGCCTTATTTTACCCATAACCCATTTTTCACAAAAAAACAAAAAAAAAAACAAAAAAAAACAAAAAAAAAAAAAAACCATTCTTTTTGTATTTTCCGTAGTACATTATATAGCATCTGAAAAAGGAAGAGTTTTATTTTCTACCTATTTGATTTTTCAAAACTCTTATAGAAGTTTTCATTTATTAGTCTTTTTTTTTGTATTTATGGCCTATGTCATTTTTTCTTGTAGTCATGAACTTATCTAAGTTGAATTTGTAAATTTCATTAAAATATTAGGTGTTTCTTGTTTGTTTAGTTTGTTTTTCTTAATTTCTTTTATTGTTTATGTCACCTTTGTTTTCTCTTTGAATATATTCTTGTTTTGGGTGAATTTTAAGAAGAAATTTCTAAGTTGCAATTATGTGTTCTGAATTTAAAAAGAATTTTTTAAATTACAATTATGTATTCTAAATCATTAAGTTCTTTATTTTCTTGTCTGTATCTTGTAAAATGAAAAATAATTCTTGGAAATTTGGTTGAAGAAATGTAAATAAATTAAGAAAATTTGACTCTTGAAAATCATGTAGACTTTGACAGATTACATTATATTTTTTAGAATACTATGCATTATATATATAATGGATTTTATTGGTTAATAAATTGTCATTTTAAATTAAATTCAGGTTTCGAATTTTGCTGTATAGCTTTCATTATTTTGTTTATAATGGCACCTAGCAAGAAATGGATGAGTTTTTTCAATGATAGATTGAACGAACACTATAAAGATGGCGTTCAAAAGTTTTTGAATTATGCATTTCTCAAGACGGGTGAAGAGCATAAAATACGGTGTCCGTGTGTTAAGTGTAAGAATAGTGGTTATAGATCTCGTGAAGTGGTTGAAATGCATCTATATGTGTATGGAATTTTGCCAAATTATACATTTTGGTATCATCATGGTGAAAGGCGTGGTGAACCACAATCTGATAATGAAGAAGAAGAACACGAAAGTGAAAATGATGAGGAGATTCAAGAATTATTAGAAGATATATATCCTGAGTATTATAGTTTTGATAAGAGTGGATCTAATATTGGTACTTCAAATCACATTGAGCATGGAGAGGAACCAAATGAGGAAGCAAATGCATTTTACAGGCTGTTAAAGGAATTTGAGCAACCAGCTTACCAAGGATGTAATACCTCTAAGTTATCGATCATTGTCAAATTGCTATATATCAAGAGCATTGGTCGATGGAGTAATGAATCATTTGACATGTTGCTACAAATGTTAAAAGACATACTTCCATCAGGATCATCTTTGCCAGAAACATATTATGATGCAAAAAAAAAATCATTAGAGATCTTGGCCTCTCTTATGAAAAAATAGATGCATGTGTTAATAATTGTATGTTGTATTGGAAAGATGATGATGACTGTAGTTCATGCAAAATTTGTGGTGCTTCAAGATGGAAAGAAGATATTCATAGTGGAGAAATTAAAATTAAAAGTAATGGCAAAAAAGTATCATTGAAGACAATGCGATACTTTCCGTTAAAGCCAAGGCTTCAGAGATTATTCATGTCTAGGAATATAGCTTCTTTTATGAGATGGCATCATGACTCAAGAGTGGATGATGGAGTGATGAGACATCCGGCTGATTCTATGGCATGGAAATACTTTGATGAAATTCACAAAGATTTTTCTTTAGAGCCTCGCAATGTAAGACTTGGTCTTGCAAGTGATGGTTTCCAACCATTTAATCAATCCAAAACATCATACAGCATTTGGCCAGTAATACTCATTCCATACAATTTGCCTCCCTGAATGTGCATGAAGGATTCCAATTTTATTCTATCAATGCTCATACCCGGTCCTGAGGGTCCTGGTGATGCAATTGACATCTATCTCAAACCTTTAATAGAAGAGTTAAAGGAGTTGTGGGAAGTAGGTGTTGACACATTTGATGCTTCAACTCGTCAGAACTTCAAATTGCATGCATCATTATTGCATGCATCATGTGGTAATGATGGTTTTACATATTATAAATAAATATTTCTATTTAAATAATCACTTACATTTGAAAGTCATGCAGAAAATCAGTCAGCAGAATACTAAGAATAGGTCTGCATCAGATATGGGAATGCCTCATCGCATAGGGAGTAAGCCACATAGAGAAATCATATATGAAAATGTACTAAAAAAACACTTCTCTGCTAGTTATCTATGCAGTTTTTTACTTAGAATGACATTTTTTTCCTCAACTTATAGGGAGGTAAAGATTCACAACCACCTGATTTGGGAGTAATTTTCTTAAAGACTAGAAGCAAAAATGAAAAATTAAATGAGACAAAAGAAGAAGAAAAATATGTAAGTGTCATTATTTATCCCTTTTACATTGATCTTGTTCATTTTTATCTTGATATACTTTTAACTTTTGTAAACTTTTTATAGAATGAAATTGTGAAGACTATTAAGTCCAATCCATCACTTTCAAACCTTGAAGTTGTTGAAAAACATTTTGGACAACAACGCCATGGTCATGTATATGGCTATGGGGGTGGAGTGAAGCGGAAAAACTTTAATGACAGTAAATCTACTTATATCAAAGAGCTAGAGGCTAAACTCTATGAAAAGGGTGAAGAAAATCGTGACCTTAAGAGGCGCATGGATATATTTGAAAGTAGGTTGATCCGAATAGAGAATGAAGATTCACCATCAGTTATAATTACAACCGGTGATGATATTCAACAGGTACATAAAGTTAATGGAGAGAAACCTTTAATTTTGCTTACTATATAGGAAATAACGTAACTAACTTATATTATTTTTTTGAGTTCCTTATACAAAATGACTACAATTTTATCATTGCAGGGTGCTTAGAACTCAAGATATGAACATTGTTTCTTTTGACTTTAGTATTAAGGTAAAATAAATATTTCTATCGCTTTTACCAGTATATCAATTTAATTAAGTTGTGGCTCTTGGAAAAATTATTGTTAGATGACTTGATGGATCTAGATGTGTATTATTTATTATTATTATTATTATTATTATTATTATTATTATTATTATTATTATTATTATTATTATTATTATTATTATGGTTTGTGTGCTCTTTGTGGGTGGCTTGAGGGTGACCATTGCTCTAGTGTAAGCTCTGGGAATCCCTCTTGTAAAAATGTAGAGGTCTGCATGAGAGGGGTTGGTCTGGATCCTGAGGGTGGAAGGTGGAGGGTAAAGATTGTATTGATTTCTATTCATGACTCTTAAGCATCGGTCCCACACCTTGTGTAGGGTAAGGATTGTAGTATGATTGAGTTGCATGTTGTGTAAGTTGTGTATGCTTGATTAAACAGCTTGGCAGCCAGCTCTTGGTAAAGTAACTTGAGGTGTGAGTGCTTGCTGTTTGGTTTAGAGGATGGCACTTTTGTTGATTTAACTAAGGAATTTTGTAGCCTAAAGGGGCAATTATGGGGCACTATGTACAGACAACTTTTAAGAACTAATATTCTTATATTTTGCATTACAATGCAGGTTACTTCTAACACTGGTTATTATGTATAGCAACCGTGTGCTTTTGGATGATGTAAGTTCACTTCATTTGTTTAAATGAAATATGTATGTATATACATTAACTCTATATTGATATGAAATATATGTTTCCTTTACTATGAGGATTGTAGTTAAAGTTTTATGAATGTCATTTAGCTGGAGTTGTGAGTTTTATATGAGAATATATAACTTGAATTGCACACTACATTTTTCTTGGCCCTTCATCTATGTGGTTGGGTTGATTGAATTGTGGGTTAAATATATGCTTCATTATACACATTTGATTGTGAAAGTGCATGCATGATATTTATTAACTGCAATTATACAGAGTATATCCTCACAGGCTATTTTTATCTATCAGGTGGCAAAGTTATTGATGAAAAAGAGCATACCTAACACCACATTGAAAATTTTCAAAAAAAAACACCACATTGAAAGTAAACTCTTTTTGTATGAAGTACAGCAGATTGGACATTTTTTTGGGGGGTTGCTTTTGTATAAACTAATCATGTCAATTTATACAGCCTCTCCTTTCAAAATAGCCAACAGATACATTACTATGGCTATTCATTATAATTAGTTTCTTTGTTTATAGTCTTTACAAAGTTGTGCGAAATATTTCATTTTAGTGGTGATGATGAAATCTTTTAACATATTAATCGAGTTTAATTTGATTCCATTATGTTAAAAATTATATATGTTACCGATACAATATCTATAATTAGAACATAATGTAGATTAGCGATAAAAAATGTATTACAAAAGTTAATATTTAATGAGAAGCAACAATATATATACCAAATTAGAAAGAAAAAAAAAAACCTAGATTTAGTGACGGTAAAATTTAATATAATGAGGAAAATTTTGGTTAGTAAATAGTAATATTAATGACGGGATTCACCATCATTAAAAGAATATAACGAGAGGAAATTATGTTAGTGAGTAGTTATATTAGTGACGGGATTTTCTATCACAAAAAGAACATTTTAGTGACAGTAAATACACTATCACTATATGCTTATTAATGATGGTATCATATCCCGTCATTATTTGGTTTTATCCTCGGAAGAAATAACGACGGGTCGTGACGGTAAATTTCCCGTCACTAAAAATCTTTTATGATGGTTATTTAATTTTTAGTGACGGTTTCACCTCTCACTAATCAACAATTTTCTTGTAGTGCTCTCTTCGTCTTCTTGAATGGTATGCTAGCTTCTTGTATTTTCTTGAAGATTATCTTGGAGCATGCAAACTCTTGGTCTCTTGTGCATATTCATATATAATTAATATTTTAATAGAAAAAGTATAGAACACATTATGTAAGATAGGGAGCAAATATTTACATGTATTAAGATTAATTCTGATCTCCACATTATTACACTAGTTTACAGTACATTTGATCACATTACAATGAAAGTCTAAACTATGAACATTTAGATTGTACCTCGACAAAACCAATTACGTACAATGGCTTCAATAAGTTGAAACCATATATTCCTCCAGTAAGGATTAATATATAACACTAACACCACTACCAACAAAAAAATAACATAAGCTACACCAAAACTGATGTAAAAAACATCCATATCAACATCATTGCTCTCTTCACTCTCACCATTTGTATCATTCTGCAATGGAGGTATCGGTAGCTCAAGGCTGCTGCAACTAACTTGTAATGGGGGTCCACAAAGATAAGGATTACCTTCGTAGCTGCTTTCATCAAAGGTTGCAAACTGAGCTTTTGGTTCTGGTATTGCACCTGTTAAATTGTTGTATGCAACACTAAAGAACTCCAACCAGCGGAGGTTAATGAGTGTGATGGGGATTTTTCCACTCAACTTGTTGCGGGAAAGATCTAGACTTTCGATATTTTCCAACTTTGACAATGTCTCTGGGATCATACCACTAAGGTTGTTATATGACAAGTTCAATGCATGTATCTTAGTCAAATTTCCCAATTCAAATGGAATTTCTCCAGTTAACTTATTACCGGAGAGATCAATTCCAGACATATATTTGAGGATGCTGTTTTGATAGTTATATAAATTTCCCTTTGTTCTAAATTGCACCTCAGGAAGCACATCCACTGCTAACATTGGAATATACTCATCATCACTTCCCCACTCATAGTGGAGACGATCCAATATTGCATCGTTAATGCTATAATATTCAAATGGCAAATTGATGCCTCTGAACTGTTCATTAGTCCCTTCTAGACTAATCTTACCCAAGCAACGTGGGATCACACCACTGAGTAAATTGTTAGATAAATCCAACAAACTTAATCTCATTAGTTGACATACTTGAGTTGGAACCTTCCCTTCAAATCGATTTCCATTAAGGAGAAGAGAGCTCAACCTTGATATAGTGCCTATCCATTCTGGAATTATTCCAACAAAACTATTATAACTCAGATCAAGTATAACCAAGGCAGTGTTGTTAAAAAATGCACGCGTGAGTTGACCGCTGAGTTGATGTTTACTAAGAGAAACATGTTTTATGGAGGATGGGTTGAGGCACGATGGAATTGACCCTGTTAAGTTATTCTCTGACAAGTCGAGAATAGAGAGGCTTTTTAGGTTACAAAACTCTATAGGGATATGACCTTCAAGATGATTTTTGGACAAAGTGAGTTGCACCAAACTGGTTAAACGACCCATCCATCTTGGAATTTCTCCAGAAAGTTTGTTGTCACGAATATCCAAAGAATGCAAGGGCAGATTAGAAAGGCTATTTGGTATGGTCCCTTCGAAATTGTTACCATCAAGATGCAAGTACTCCAGAGAAGATAAGTAGTCGAATTCTTGGACAATTTGTCCTTCCAGCTTATTGTTTGACAGTTTAAGAATCACCAATGATGAGCAACTTATCAACATCTCTTTAGGAATTTCTCCTGTGAATGAATTATTTGACAAGTCCAAAAACCCTAAGTGTGTGCCGATAAGGGAATGTAGCTGACCACTAAACAAGTTGCTAGAGAGGTTCAGTGCTAAAATATTGGGAAAAGATGAGCTGAAGTTCCCAGATATTTCTCCACACAACTTGTTGTTGGAGACATTAATTATTTGTAGATTAGGGTTCACATGTGATGACAACTTAAGGCTTCCTGTAAAAGCATTGTTGTTCATAAGAAAATATTGAAGTTTTGTGTTGTTTTGAAGCAACCAACTGGGAAATTCTCCCTCCAAATTGTTTCTAGAGATCCTAAGAACCTTCAGATCACGCTGGTAGTGAAGAAATCTTGGCAACTTTAGAAGGTCGATGCAATTTGACAAACTAAGGGAATCTAGCTGGAACTTAGGGACAAAACCTTGTAACTGGGTATCCGCAATTACTTTATTTCGATCAGCAAGGATGACCCTAAGTTTGGAATTGTTAGCAAAAGACCTGAATGAGCTTGCAACTTCAAAGGAGTTGTTCATAATTGAAAGATATTCAAGTGATGTGAGTGTTGACAGTGGAGATAGCTCAATATTCCCAGAAAGCTTATTTAGGGAGAGATTAACATAACGGAGGGATGTTAAATTTCCAAAATATGATGGAATCTTTCCCTCCAACTGATTTTCACTAAGCCAAAGCTCTTGAAGGTTCTTTAGTTCACACAGACCTGTAGTGATATAATTAATTAACAATAGCTTAAACTTAAGCTATTACATAGTACCATATATGCTAGTATGTATATAGTAGGATCATAACCAGTAAAAATTATTTTTAAAACAGTACCTTTGTTAGGTAGAGTGCCTCCTACTTGGGCTCCACTTAATGATAAGACTTTGAGTGACTCCATTGGTCCAATATTTGAAAGGAAGTCCTTATGAAGATTAGAGCCATCAAGATGCAACTCTTCAAGGCTGCTTAGATTTTTTAATGCTTGATTACATGTCACATAAAAAAAAAAAAAAAAAAAAAAAAAGATAATTAGAAAATTTAAAGAAGTATAAGCAGAATATATAGGGGGGTGAGTCTAAATTTTTCGCTTTCCTTACCATGAATTGCATCGATGTTTGTAACATTAACTCTCTGTAATTCAAGAGTTTTAATGGATGGAAATGCTGCCAAAGATGATAGTAGCTTAGTCATGTCAAAAGAGATGTTATTTAAGTGCAATACTTCGAGATAGCTCTTATTTCTAATCGTGTGCCTTGATGATCCTGATTTGACATTAAAAAAGTAAAAGATTAATATTTTGAGAATAAGTAAAAGATTAATATTAATATACATACATATGTATATAGCATGCATGGAAGATGATAAGTAATAATGATATAAAATTAATTAACCTGAATGATTTGCAGATGTCTCAAAACCCTCAAAATAATTGTCACTCAAATATAACTCCTTTAGATTTCTTAAATCATTTATATCTGTCAAAAAAGTTGTAAGTAAATTATTCACATTATAGATGTGAAGGTAGAGAATGATCGAAGAAACTACTATTGCATATATATGGGATTCACCTTGTATGTGCAATGGTCCATCATAAAAATCATTATCCATTAGATCCAAAATCTTAAGCGAAGGAAATCCTTTAAGTGACTGAAATATACTTTGATTAAATCTACATTCGAATAAATACAATTCCTCCAATTTCTTTGCTCCTCCAACGTCTGTACAAAAAAATAGGTAAGTAAATTTGTGGTTGAAATTAAACATTTATCTGCCTAACATTACATGTAGAAGTAAATCAAGTAATTAATTCCACACCCACAGAATTAGATAATTTTGAGGCTTAACCTCTCTTTCCCTACCAAAAAACAAATAAAAAAAAATCAAGTAATTAATTAATGCGGAATATATTGTAGTGGATGCATGTGTGTGTGTATATATGGAATAGTGGAATACCATTAATTGGTCCAAAGCTCTGAAATTTGTTGAAGCCTATGTCTAGCACCTTTAGACTAATGAAGTCCTTTAAATCTGTACGGCATTGCAAGAAAGGATACTTAGAAATTAGTTATATACTAACATGTCTAAATATTCCGTGTATGTGTGTGCGTGTGTATATATATATAGAGAGAGAGAGAGAGTCAGGTTCTCTTTTAAATAGTACTTCTCGTGCGGCCATACGGTCACTATCATTAAGTACGTATAAATAAACCACAAAGTGTTCGAAAATGCACCAGTGCAGTATCGTGCAATATTTTGTGGTGCATTGGTGTATTTTATTGTGGTGCATTTTCAAACATTGTGTGACACATTTTTGCATATTTAATTGTGAATCTGCACTAGCAGCATTAGAAGCATTGTCCAACCAATATATATATATATATATATATATATATATATATATATATATATATATAACATCTATATTAAGATGCATATGTGAATTTATTACAAAATTTAGTTCACTTAAAAAAAAAAAAAAGTACTACAGAAAAAATGTTATATGTACGACATAAATATAAATAATATTAGAAAAGATTAATTTACTCAAAACTGATAGAATATTGATTTCTTCCATCTGAGTGTATCTCATGTGGAGTTCCTCCAAGTTGATTAACCCTGTGAGCCGTTCGTTACCTACATATATATACATTTATATACTTTCAACATGTGAAGGAAACAACATATATAAAATGAATATTGAACTCATTATATATTTGACAACATCATATTATAATGGTTGATAACTTGATATAAGTCATTAGATAAACATACCTGAATTATTCAAATGCGAGTTCAATGGATTATCAAACAAATAGAGATATTTGAGTGATAAAAGATTGCTGAGAGAAGACAAAATGCTGCGATTTAAGTTATTAACGCCCATATCAAGTATTTCCAAATTTTGGAGTTTTGACAGTTTATCAAAACCTGTTAACATCCTTCAAATATCAGTAAAAAGGTGAAGATGAATTCAGTTAAGTCTTCTAATTTACTGCATGTTTTCACTTCTCTTGGGTAGATCGAACATCGTCAGTTAAATTTATCTTTTGAATTTAAAATTTTAAAATGATCCTCAAAAAGTCAAACTATATATATATTACTAAATTAGAATTTCGTCTAGGCAGCAGTGCCCCGTAGTTTTATTTTCAAAATATATTTTTTTGTAATTTTAATAATTTTTGTTCATTTTGTAAATAAATATATTTATTGGTTGATTTTAGTTCCCTTTACGTATTTGTTTGCAATATATCAAATAATATTTAATTATATAGGTAATTACAAAATTAACTCTTTCATGGGAACAAACAAAATTTAATCTTATGCATAATACTAGTTATGATATGTCCATTGTGTGATTAAACTAATGCCCAAATTCCCAATGAGAAAATTAAAATAAGTAAATAATAATTCATATTATTTTTAAATTTAAAAGTCAATCAATATAAAATAGAACTGATTACATTTTCAATATAATCAAAATGAGTAGTTTCAATTTGTGCTAAACATAAAAGTAAAAAGGAGTATTGTTGTAGATAGTTGTGATCAAAAATAAAAATCATGTTTAACAATTCTCATATATTAAAAGAAATTAAGTCTTCTTAATGCATTTTGACGATCATTGATGAGTCCGTAATGTTAACTTATTTTTTTATTGAAAGTGACATGTGATCTATAATGGGTTTACCAATGTTGTCGAGTAACTAAAGAGTTATGCAATAAAGTTGTATTATATGAATTTATAGGCTTTTCTTGTGTATATGATTAAAAATTTAACTGTAGTTATATGAACTTGTCCTCTTGCAAACTCTAATTGGTATTTTGGATTTTTTTTTTGTTATAAAATATTGATTAGATAATGAAAATTTTGTATTTGAATTTTCAAAGTGGAGAGAAATTTTATCCCAAAAAGTATAGATGTACTTGTAATAATACGTATATTCTTATTGAAGCAATATAAGTTTGGAAAAGAAAATTCAAATTTGTCCCATAGTGAACAATGTTTGATTTAAGCGAAGAAAAGATAAAGTATTTTTAGGATAATTCTAGTATGACATCCATGTTCTTTTAGGATGATGATTATTTATAAAATAATATCCTTTATCTTTTTAATGATTGAAAGAAATTAAAAAAATCAAATTCATTAAAAATTACTATATTTAAATTCTTACCTCAGCTCAGAGAAAAAGAGTTGCAAAAAAAACAGAAAGAAAAGAGGAAAAAATTGTTAGGAGTTCTTTTTGCATACACTAATTTAATTGTTATAATAAAATAAAAGAAAATGAACATTATAATTATTGTTGTTGCTATTATAAAAGTTTAGAAAGTGCATGTAATAATTCAAGAAAAAAATAATAATAAATTAAGAAACATTTCGTTACTAGAGTTTGTACATAAATGAAAAAAATGTTAATTTTAAAAATATTTTATCATTGTACACAAAAAAAAAAAAAAATCAAAATTTACAAGTTATCAATACACATGATTACACTTAACATATTTTATATTGTTATTAAAATCATACAACATTGACTCTTATTTAATTTATAATATGAATGTTTTTAGTTACATATTTTATTGATTTCTAGGATGTTACCTATAATTAGTAAATAATACTATTCGATAATATAGATATTATCAAGTTATTGTTTAGTTAAAGAGTTAATTCTCAAAATGGTCCTCCGACTATAGTCATTTTTCAAATTGATTCTTTGACTTTTAATTACACCTAAACTGGTCATCTGACTATTGAAATTTAAGCCATATTAGTCTTTTGTTAGTATTGGTGTCAAGATGGCGTTAAAATGGAGGACAAAACCGACAATTTATGTTGTTTATTGTTAACAAGCCCAGGCGCTATGATTTTTTCTCCAAATTAACGAAACAAATTAGAAGGTGAACAATCTTACATAGCTGTAATCCAATCGAAGGTTGTGAACTTCCATAGCCAACAAAGGACCCAACCAGCAGAGGGTGAGAGATGATCCTCTGCTCCGCATAGCCCCCCATTGCCGCAACAACACGCGCCTGAAAGTCCGCCGTGCCACGGCGTGACCGGTGTCGGGCTGGCGGCGCTGGCACGGAGTTGCGAGCGGCTGAGGAAATTTTCATGCGATATTGTCAATTGTCACGTTCGGGTCCCTCTGCGTCACCACTGCCAGTGACGGCGGTGTCGTTCCTGACCTGGTCTGCGCGGGAGCCGCAACTTCGTTGCTGAAATCCATTTCTCTGAAGTACATTTACTACGCCCAGCGATTTGGGCTGTTAATCGCCGGGTCAAAGAATCTGAAAGCCCTAAAGATTTTGCGTTGTTTTAGGCCTTGGGATAGCTGTCTGGAAACTATTACTAATGGAAACAATAGTTTAGTTTTGATCCATCTAGAATCGCTTCAGCTTAGCAATGTTGGCGTGACGGCTGTGTCAAAATGTTCGAACTTGGAGACTCTGCATTTGACGATGACGCCCGATTGGGAGATGCCGGTTGGAGAAGAAGGCTTGATCGCCATTGCTAAGAACAATAAAAATCTGAAGGAACTGATGCTTGACAATACAGAGACTAATATTACTAATCTGTCTGCAATTGCTTCTGGTTGTGTCAAACTGGAAAGATTGGTCTTTGGTCATAGTGAGAGAATTGGGGATCCTGAAGTTTGTTGCATTGCCAAGAAATGTGTGGGCTTGATGAAGCATTGTATGAGTGGATGCAGGGTGAGTGATGAGGGGATTGAAGCGGGGTGTCTTAGTATCAAAAACTGAGATGTGGGGTGGGGAAGTTGCAAATTGGTTGAAGGAATTTCATTAAAATGGAGCTGAACACCCGAATTACCCTTTTTACCCTTCATTCTAACACCAACTTAACACCAATACTAATGGAGGACCAATATGACCTAAATTTGAATAATCGGAGGACCAGTTTGGGTGCAATTAAAAGTCAAGGAATCAATCTGAGAAAATGCTATAGTTGGAGGACCATTTTGGAAATTAACTCTTTAGTTAAATGAAAATAATATCTAGATACAGATTTACATTAATAATTGCAAATAATTACAATAAATGATAAGAAAAATAATATTTACTTACCTAGATAATTACTTCGTAAAAAAAAAAAAAGACTCTTAATTAAAGCTAATAAATTATAAATATAAGTAATATTAATAATTAATTATAAACAACAATTGAAATAAATACTCAATGGAACAAAATAAATTCTAATTGCAACTAATATGAATATATTTACATTAAAAGACAATTAGATTTGATATACTAATAAATTACAAATTAATTTTTTTCTGAGAATTCAACTTCATTAATTACTTAATTAGTAAAGAAGTATATTACAATTAAAACAATAAATGAGTTTAAGAAAGAGCATTAATTTACCTTCATTTTCAACCGCACCAGCCAATTTATTTTCTGACAAATCTAGATAGTTGAGTTGTTTGAATGGGAGAAATATTGAGGCATTTATATACCAATCTCCAAATCTTTCATCCCTTAGAAATTCAAGAGAGAGTTCGGTTACTCTCCCCGTGATATTACTACATTTTACTCTGGACCATTTGCAGCAGTCACTTCTCTTATCATCTACCCATGAAACCAGAGGTTTATCATAGCTATATTTTATATGGGCTTTTACTTGTAACAAAGCAATCCTCTCTTCCTCCAAACACCCTAAAGACCCCCAAGTGTTCACCCCAATCACCAATATTACCCATAATAATACATTCCCCATTCTATGAACTATAAAAGTATAGCTATATATTGATCACTCTTAGTGCATATATTGTAGCTTCCACACAACTTATTCTCTAACCTTAGCTTCCTTATATAAGAACCATTTAGTGCATATAGAACAGATATTTATTGTTTTGAAGTCATCTACTATCGTCCCAGTCAAGCTTGACTAGGAACAGTAAAACCTTGCTATTGGTTTGAAGTCATTATCCCGGTGGAACTATAACTTGGAATTTTATATATATGCTCTTTCCGGGATAGCACATTATCATTCTATAATACACCCCCACCCTCTGTGTTATTTTATTTGTCTGATTCAATTAACGAGATTTGATTGAAGTCATTTTTAATTTAATTTTTTATAATATTAAGTTCGATATTAGTATATAAATTTTATACATTTAGAAACTACATTATAATTACTATTAAACACAAAAAATTAAATTTAAAAATAATTTAAAAAATACTAAAGAAAATAAACAATGAATAAAGTATTGATTTAACCAATAAGTAGTAAATATGACAGACAAAATGGGATAGAGGGATTAATATCAAACAATGCTCTTGTTCAAATTAGCGGACTAAATTAAATGATATCGACGGGTGGCCTTTTGAAAGATAGGGGAATTGTTATATTATGGACCATAGTCCACATGCGTCCAAATTATATCAATCGTTATGCTATGGACCCGTGTCCAGCATGCATGCTGGACAGGTAACAGTGCCGTTAGGCATCGTTCTCTTCAATTTTTTTTTTTTATTATTTCAGACTACTTTGTTATAGGAGTATATGTTCATAATTTTATCACTATATGTTCATAATTGTAAGTTCATAATGTCAGAGCTCTGTGTTCATAATTGCATAACTGTATATTCATAATTGCATAACTGTATATTTATAATTCCGTAACTGTACATTCATAAATTAATAACTGTAAATTCATAATTTTTGAAACTCTATGTTCACAATTTTAGAGCTCTATGTTCATAATTTTATCACTATATGTTCATAATTGTAAGTTCATAATGTTAGAGCTCTGTGTTCATAATTCCATAACTTACATTTATAATTCCATAACTGTACATTCATAATTGCATAACTGTACATTCATAATTCCATAGCTGTACACTCATAATGCCACAAACGAATAACGCTGTTAACGGCGAGATAAAATCAAATTTTTTTTTAAAACTGGAAGGCCGCGTTTTCTCTTAATACGACGTCGTTTTGGACTCGTGTCCACAATGCATTGTGGACACGAGTCCACAGCATAATTTGCGAAACTATATACAACTGGTTAACATATTCAATCCTTATATTATAGACCAAGGTTTACTGTGCATTGTGGACATTAGTGCATGTGTTTGTCAGTTTGTGTCTTATGGGTGTTGTGAGTTTTTGTCTTGTGTTATGGAATTCTGTACCTTAAGAATATGAATTATGCATCTGAAGCAAATTAGTACTTGTGTGTTATGTTATGAATTTTTGTGTCTTGTGTAGTGAAATTCTATGCCTATGGACACAAACTATGTACCTATAAAAAATTTGAAAAACAAGTAAATATATAACAAGTGTATGTGTTTTATGTTGTGATTTTCTGTGTCTTGTGTTATGAAATTTTGTACTTTAGGTGTATGTGTACCTTGTCGTTTCAATTCAGAATCCATAATACTATGTGGACCATGACCTATGATATAAATTGTCTGGCATAGTATGTACCTCTAGTTTATTTCTAGGTACATATTTTGTTAATTAAAGATACATAATATATTAAGAGTAAATACATAATTTAGATGTTTTTTTTTTTCATAGTTCACAATTAATAATGTGGACTCTAGTCTATAATATAATTTGCTAATATTGGACCTATACATATATGTGGTGGTATGAGTTGCACATAGATAGGTTGTTTGAGGCTACGGATTGACACTCGGATTTTTAAGTCAAGCTTTACTTTGAAAAAAAATTAACTTACAAATAATGGTTTGAAGTCTTTTTTGGCAGGCTTGACCTTTTCAAACTAGTAGGCTAAATGGGCAAGGTCCACACAATGTTATGTGGATTATAATTTAAAGTACATTTATAATATGTTAAATGTACATTATTTTTGTGATGAATGTACATTATACAATATAATATACATTCAGTACAAAAATAATGTACATTCCCTTAATACAATGTACATTATTTTTGTGCTGAATGTACATTATTTTTGTAGTGAATGTACATTATTTTATAGTATACAAAATATGGTCTAGACAACTTATATGGACTATGTTCCACACAATAATGATTGTTCTAAATGATATCGAACGATATTCTTTTTAAGTTGACAGATTAATTACGGCAAATTATATCGTGCACCGCAATGCATAATGGATTATGCATCGAGCTTCTAAACTACGTCGTTTTTTTTTTTTTAATGAAGATAAACGGCACTTTTTTTACGCCGTTCCGCAAAACGTAACTCTATTATTCAGTTTCATTTTGTATACACTGCAGGTTTTGTTCAACAAAACTACAGTTTTATTTTTTTAAAACAACAGTTTCATTCGATATTTTATACACTAAAATATGTGAAATGTTATTTAATTTTATTTTATATATACTATACTACTATAGTTTCATTAAAACACAACTATATGATCATTTCGATATAACTACAGCTTCATTGCACAATATACACTCAAATATGTGAAGTGTTATTCAGTTTCATTTTATGTACACTACAGTTTCATTTCAATTGTTATTCTGTTTCATTTTGTATACACTGCAGTTTCATTCCAACACAACTACAGTTTCATTTCATTTCAATTGCAGTTTCACTTGATAATATAAAAATAATAGGTGAGGCAGTGTCAGTTTAGATACATTGTAGTTTCAATTGGTAATTAATACATCAAATATGCGCACAACGTTAACTGTAACGGCGCGCCGTTTCTTTACTTAAAGAAACGATGTCGTTTTTGGACCACGGTGCATAATGCATTGTGTACCGCAGTCTACAGTATAATTGCTGATTAATTACGGGTTAGATTTCATTTTGTTTTGGAAAGCCGGGTTAGATTTCATTAATGCTCTTAATATTGTTGAAATTTTAATAGAAGTATATTTTTTTTATTTCTATCTTTTAAATTTATTAAATTGACATGCATGTGTTCAAAATTTTTTTATGTTTGTATAATTCAAAGTAATTTCTTATTTGATTAAAAATAAATATAACCTAACTAATTAATTAAGTCATGATTGATAATTTTACATTATTCACAAAATGTCTTAACCTTCTGTCAACTCTTACCTCATGCTTAGAGATGTCAAGATGGGTCGAAGCCTGCGGCACGACCCTAAAGTGCCTTGCAGTGGGACGGGTTAGGGCCAGAAATGTTGGTCCCAAAAAATATGTGCCTCGCAGGCTTTGGCCTACGCGAGTTGGCTGACTACACGGGTTAGCTTGCGCATATCATGGGCCAACCCGCGGGCTTTTCAAAAAATAAATAAATAAAACAAAATAAAATAAAATAATATATATATATATATATATATATATATATATATATATATATATATATATATATATATATATATATTGTTAGTGTTTTTAAATGTTCAAAAACCCCATATTATAATTGACAATATTATTATGGCATACTAAGATAGGTTTAGAGTCTGTCCGTTTAGCTCTACAGATAACTGATCAATCAGAAGCAACAACAGAAGGACTGACACTGAAGATCTGATTTAGGAAGCTGATTTCTTAAAAGGCTTACGCGGTATTATCAGACTCATATGGAAAGATGATCAGCGTATATTTTCAAGAAAGGTATGGACCTAATCTTCTGAGATTACATTTCTCTTTTATAGTCCTACCTTCTACAATCAAAGACATCTATGGAGAGTGGTTATTGAAGGATCTATAAGTACCCTTATTCGAATAGAATTAGGGTTACCGAAAGTAAGAAGAAATACTCCATATCTGCTATATGAGATTAGATCTTTGATTGTCATGCATCTTCTCAATACAATATGTTCACGGTGATTAAGATGATGAACTTGAGAAGAGTTACTGCTGCTTAAACGAAAGGACACTGTGATCACACTGTTGTGGGAACAACTTTATAGAGCGTCATTGAAGTGGACTGCATCAGAGTGGGCTCTCCAAGTGAAGGGATTTCATTGGACTTCTGTATGCATGGCTCTCCATCTTCAACAATCCACTAGACCTGTGTAGATTGGGTTTGAACCTTGTGTGGGGCACTTGGGTAAGATTATTGTATATCTACCTTTGTACATTGGTTTATGACTTAGTGGATTGGACGCCTATGTGATCGTCCCCCAGACGTAGATACACACAGTATCAAACTGGGTAAACATTCTGTGTGTTTGGTTTTTGTGCGGTTATCTTTCTCTTATACTCTCTTCATGATTTATCATTAATCTACATCAGTCATCTAATTCTGTTATCATTAATCTACATCAGTCATCTAATTCTGTGAATCAATCAGTAATCTACATCAGTCATCTAATTCTGTTAATTTACTTAAAATGAGGAATTGCAAAATTACATGTGGTATCAGAGCTTTTAAGTCTACATAGTGACTTGATCCGAAGGGCTGTTTTAGTTTTGCATTCTCTCTGTTTTTGTGCAAGTTTCTCTGTGTGTTCGTTGGCTGGTTGTTGTATTCAGGATGGACGCAAGTATGAAACCGCCAGAACTAGATGGTCACAACTACTCTTTCTGGAAGGCTCGAATGGAGATATATCTTCAAGCACAAGGTACCAGGGTTTATCGCACCATCCTAACTGGGTGGAGTCGGCCTACTACTCAGAATGCGCAAGGAGTTGCTGAAGAAAAGCCCATGGAGACTTGGACAACAAAGCATTGAACTCAATTGTAGGATCACTGCATGAATCTGTCTTTACGCTTGTTACAGGAGTAAAAGAGGCTAAACGGGTATGGGAAATTCTTGAAACCAGATTTGAAGGAACCAGTGATGTCAAACAGTCAAAGCTGCAAATGGTTCTGTCAGAATTCGAAGCACTCAGAATGATTGAAGACGAAACCATTTCGACCTTCCACAGTAGGGTTCAGAACTTGATGAACTGAGCCTCAATTCTTGGGGAACCGTTCACTGATGAGAGAGTGGTCAAAAAGATCCTTAGATCTTTACCTAAACGCTTTCGAATGAAAGTAACTGCTATTCAGGAACACACAGGTTGGGAAAAGAAGACTGTCGGAGAACTCATGGGAAGCTTACACACATACGAACTGGAAGTTCTTGCTGATGATGATATTGGAAGCAACAGGAAAGGAAAGTCGGTAGCCTTTGTGGCTGAGGCTGATCGAGAATCTGACACAGACGACATAGATGATGAAACCTTAGCTCTTCTAACCAAAAACTTCATGAAAATTTTAAAAGGTTTCAACAGAAAGGGTCAAGGTCAGCCTACCAGGACACAATACAAAGGCAACAACTCCTCATATCAAAAGGTAGAAACAGCACCTTTCTCACAAAACAATCAATCTCAAACTGGGCGATCAAGACAAAACAGAAACAGTTCCACAGATACAGGAAAACCCCTCAATCGGTCAGTGCAATGTAGGGAATGTGAAGGATACGGTCACATACAGGCTGAATGTGCAACATATCTTAAAAGGAAAAAGGCTATGTCTGTAGCTACTCTTAGTGATGATGAGGAGGAAACTTCAAATGATCAATCAGATGATAATGTAGGAAACTTTGTAGCTTTCTTTACTGCTACAGACCTTCAGTCAGACGGAGATCAATCTGATGGAGAATCATACATATCAACTGATGATTTTGAAGAGAGACATACTCAACTTGAGACAGAATTTGGAAAACTTGTTGCTAGCTGGGAACAACTTGTGAAAGTGAATAAGAATCTGAATGACGAGCTGAAGCAAAGAGATGATCTTCTAAAGAAATTGAATGCAGAACTGGTCATAAAAGAAGATCTCATCACTCAGATATGGTCCAGAGAAGGAAAACTAATCAAGGAATTGGAGAGCTTGAAGAAAAATATCCAGATGATGGACACCACATCTACCTTAGATAAGATTCTAGACTCTGGCAGAAATCCTAATGATAAAAAGGGTCTGGGATTTGAACAAGGAGAATCTTCGAATAAAGCACCAAAGTTCATCAAAGAGGGAATGTCTAAGACCACTGCTGATCACAGGTATGAACAAGGACAGTCATCTCAGTCAGTACAAAATAAGGGAAGGAGGTACGATCAGAATACTGATACTGACCTGGCCAGATCAACTGATCAATCTCATTATTCGAGGTTCAAAAATAAGATTGTCAAAGTTAAATATTACACTCCCATTTGTCACTACTGTCAAACAAAAAGTCATACTCGACCTGAGTGTTATTTTTTCTACAGAGATCAAAGGAAGGAAAAATATCAGAATAAGACTATTACACCATTCACTAGACAGGTTTGGGTCAGAAAGTCAGAAGTTATCTGCTACCCCACCATTGTTCTGACTGCATCTACAACTGATGCTAGATGGTATTTCGACAGTGGATGTTCCAGACATATGACTGGAAATATTAAGTGTCTGATGGCTATTCAATCTAGCAGTGGAGTTGTAACATATGGAGATGGACAAAAAGGTAAAATCGTGGGGAAAGGTATCCTAAATTTACCAGGCTTACCTCAATTAGAAGAAGTCCTGCTAGTCAGTGGGTTGAAAGCAAATCTAATTAGCATCAGTCAGTTGTGTGATCAAAATTGGAATGTGTGCTTCGATCGTAACTGTTGCAGAGTTAGTGACAAAGCAAATCAACTTGTCATGGAAGGAACTCGGTCCTCAGACAATTGTTATGTTTTGACAAATGAAACTGCTTGTCCTCTATCCAAATCTGATGAATCAAAACTCTGGCATAGACGACTGGGTCACATAAACTTCAGAGATATGGATAGGCTGATAAAACTGGAAGCAGTAAAAGGTGTACCTAAGATCAGAATTGATCCAGAAAAAATTTGTGGCGCATGTGCAATTGGGAAACAAATCAGAACTCCACACAAAGCAGTAAGAGGTATCACCACTGAGAAATGTCTAGATCTTGTCCATATAGACCTCATGGGGCCAACACAGACTGAAAGTATTGGGGGAAAGAAATACATATTTGTGTGTGTAGACGACTTCTCTTGATACAGCTGGGTATACTTTCTGAGAGAAAAGACAGAAGCTTTCAAGGCCTTTAAGACTCTGTGCATAAGAGTTCAGAAGGAAAAGGATGAGTCCATTATAAAAGTTCAAAGATTGAGGAGTGATCATGGAAAGGAATTTGAGAACTCACTATATTCAGACTTCTGCTCCGAGCATGGTATATCACATGAGTTCTCAGCTCCTAGAACTGCTCAACAGAATGGAGTAGTGGAAAGAAAGAATCGAACTTTACAGGAAATGGCTAGAGTTATGCTACATGCCTCACATCTGCCACAACGCTTCTGGGATGAAGCAGTTCACACAGCGTGTCATACTATAAATAGGGTCTACCTTAGACCAGGAAAAACGAAAACTCCTTATGAGATCTGGAAGGGAAAGAAGCCAAATCTGAAATATTTTCATGTGTTTGGGACAAAGTGTTATGTGCTGGCTGATAGAGAACAAAGAGGAAAGTTCAAATCCAAGAGTGATGAGAGCATCTTCCTTGGCTACTCTCCGAACAGTTGTGCCTACAGAGTCTACAACAAGAGGACTCAGTCTGTGATGGAGTTAGTAAACGTGGTTATCGATGACAACCCAGAAGAATCAGTAGACTCAACAGTGATAGAGTCTTCTCTAAGTGATCCAGATGCGAGTAATAACAACAGTCAACTCAAACCACAAGAATCGTCAGATGAAGATTAAGAAAGTTCAGAACAGGAGATAAATCTCATGAATGATGTTGGTAAAGACAAACCCACCAGAACTCAGAAAAACCATCCATCAGATAACATTATTGGAGATCCATCAGATGGGATGAAGACCAAAAGCAGAATAAGAAATAATCTGACAGAAATATCTGGGTCTGCTTGCTATACCTCAAAGATAGAACCCAAAAATGTCAAAGAAGCCTTACAGGATGATCTGTGGATCAAGGCAATGCAGGAGGAACTACATCAGTTTGAGCGGAATCATGTCTGGAATCTTGTACCAAGACCTGATGGTGTCAACGTAATTGGAACGAAGTGGATTTTTAAAAATAAAACTGATGAAACCGGGAATATAGCCAGAAACAAAGCTCGGTTAGTTGCTCAAGGTTACACTCAGATTGAAGGGATTGACTATGACGTGACTTTTGCTCCTGTAGCTAGACTCGAGTCAATCAGAATCTTGCTGGCTGTCGCATGCATTTTGGGATTTACATTATATCAGATGGATGTCAAGACAACATTTCTGAATGGGTATCTCCATGAAGATATCTATGTGGCTCAACCTAAGGGTTTTGAAGATACAGAACATCCTACTTATGTCTATAAGCTTCGAAAAGCTCTCTATGGTCTTAAACAAGCCCCACGGGCATGGTATGAACGACTGACACAGTATTTGCTCCAGCATGGGTATAAACGCGGAAGTGTTGACAAAACTCTGTTTGTAAAAACTACTGGAAGTCATGTAACCATAGCTCAAATCTATGTTGATGACATTGTGTTTGGATCAACCCTGCAGAAATACACTGATGAGTTGGTAAAAGTGATGGAGGAAGAGTTTGAAATGTCCATGGTTGGTCAACTGACATACTTCCTAGGTCTACAGGTCAAGCAAAGTTCTGAAGGGTACTTTATTTCGCAAGAGAAGTATGCTAAGAATCTTGTCAAAAAATTTGATCTGGAATCATGTAAATCATCCAGAACACCTATCTCCACCTCTACAAAAGTATCGAAAGATGAAACTGGTGTATCAGTGGATAACACAGTCTATCGTAGCTTGATAGGCAGTCTGCTGTATCTAACAGCCAGTCGACCAGACATAATGTTCAGTGTAGGAATCTGTGCAAGGTATCAATCTGACCCAAAGGAATCTCATCTGATAGCTGCAAAATGTATTCTGAAATACGTTAAAGGAACGATACAGTATGGACTCTGGTATTCCAAGGACAGTGAACCGAATCTGGTTGCATACTGTGATGCTGATTGGGCAGGAAATATTGATGATCGGAAAAGTACTTCTGGAGGATGTTTCTTCGTTGGTAAAAACTTAGTATCATGGCTAAGTAAGAAACAGAATTCAATCTCACTAAGCACTGCAGAGGCAGAATACATAGCTGCAGGTGGTTGCTGTACTCAGTTGGTATGGATGAAACAGATGTTTCTGGATTATGGTCTTACTCAAGGAACAATAACACTCTTCTGTGACAATGTCAGTGCTATTAACATCTCCAAGAATCCTGTTCAACATTCCAGAACGAAACATATTGACATCAGGCATCATTACATCAGAGACCTAGTTGAATCCAAGGAAATTGAATTGGAATACATTCAGACTGACAAACAACTGGCGGACATTCTGACTAAGCCATTGGATGCTAATCGTTTTGAAGTTCTCAGATCTGCTCTGGGAATTTGCAGAATTGACTGATTAAAGCAGTTGGTCCGTTAGAGAGGAGTTGGTGTTTACGGGTCAGTGTTATGATTTGACTTTCCTTAAAGACTCCTCTCTATTTATGTTAAGAAGATTATTTAACCTTATGCTTCTCAGAGATATCTTAAAAGATCTTAATTTCTTTTTAAATTTCAAATTTCCTTGGGTTCCGTTTCCTTCCTAAAAAGGAGCTGTACCGTTGTGTCAATCAATCGCGTCTGCATGATATTTGACAAGCCGCATTAATTAGGGTTCATCACCCTTAAGCCTATTTGATACCGGGTCAAGAAGAAAAACACATCTTCGATCACCACAGCTCTCAACTTTCTATCTCTCTTGAATATCTGCCTTCAGTGATCTGCTTTTCTCTTCGCACATAATCTTCAATGGCGGACCCTGTAAGAAACATCATTATCAAACTTGGAAGCAAGACACACTCTCCGGAGGTGGCCCTTAACCACATTCAGACGCTGCTGCAGTTTGCTATGAAGAAGAAGCTCAAACTTGATCCTCTGCTTCGCGACGAGATTTTAGTAACTGTGATGACCTATTACCCAGAGTTTTATGCAGAATGGTCTGAAGATGATGCGACTGAACTGCTTATGATGGTTTCTGAAGCCAGTGATGAAGTTTCTCCAGTATATATTCCAGAACCCTCGGATGGAAATCGGGCCAGGGCATTCCTTCAATACTTTGCACATCGAGCCCTAGAATTGGTTGAGGCCTCTCGACGGCAAGCGGAGGCGCATCCTCTGTATCTCGAAGCTGCTCAGAAAGAGGCAAAACACAGACAGGAGATCCTCCGAAACAGGTCAAACAATTCTGAAACTCCTATTGAAATTTCACCAGATAAACCTGATGTCTCTGCTACCCCATCTTATGTGCCTGTTATTTCTGAAAATTTAACTGCTTTGGATTCCGAGAAGCCTCTTGTGAATGTTGATTCTTTATCTCTGCCTTTGAGTGAATCTGTTGGTGTGAAAACTGATGACTTGCATGTGTCTGATGAGAAAGCAAAGTCCTCTGATGAGCTAAATCCACTGAGTTTAGTCGTTTACTCTTTTGATAATATTGCTCTGCCTCCTGCTGAGAATGTTGATGACACTAAAGAAACTTGCTCTGCTGTTGATACTCCTGTTTTACCTGCTACTGTTGAAACTGTTGATTTATCAACCCCCCACAAGTCTGAGAAAACAGGTGGAATTCCTGTTTACACTGCAACATCTTTAGGAGAGAGTCTGGAACATGTGCGACACTTTGCTGGGCTACCATCTGCTTCAATCCCTCAACCATATCGAGTGATTCATCCTTCCGAATCCTCCAGCGAAGATGATAAAATACTGGCTGAAGTGTATGGATCTCAAGCACTTCCATCCGATGTTCCAACTGTTGAGGCAACTGCTCATCCTGACTCCACGAATTCCAAAATTCGAGAGATTTCGAATATTATTGGAAGCTCGTCTGCAAATGTTTCTGATTCTAGCCACTCTGTGACTCCGGTTCAATCCCCAACCAAAGAAACAAGACGGTAAAAAAGGAAGAATGTCCCAGTAAAGGTTGTTGTTGAGACCGGTGATGATAATGCTGATGTGGATCAGCCTGAGAAGAAGAGAAAGTCGAGTGAGACTGTTAAGCCTGAAGGAAACCCGCCTATTCAACAAGTGTTCAAGACTCTGCGATCGTCTGTTAAACAAAAAGGATCTACTGCTGTTCAAGCTACCTCTGTACCATCCCCTTCTGTCAGAAAAGGGAAGCCATCTACACGATCAAGAGGTCAAAGTATCACCCCTGAGGTTCCACCTGTTGAAGAAACTAACCCATCTGTTTACCGGCCTCAGTTTGTATCTCCTGCTGCACAGGCCAAATGGGCCACTATGGTTATAAGGGACTTATTGTTCAAAGATCGGTGGATGAGAACCAGCTGAACTCCGTTTGTGACATTCTGCCCTTGCTGAATGAAGTCGGATTGTTAAAAACTGTCACGGACATCTGCCCTTACTCTAAGCTGCTCACATATGAATTCTATTGCAATCTCAATGATGAGATTGACATTCTCACAGGGCCACGACCGATGCAGATCTTTATCAGAGGAAGGTGGTATGTTTTTGGGCCGGATATGATTAATGAATACTATGGCTTGCCAGCTGTTCAAGAAGAAGCTGTTATTGACTGGGACTTAGTTGCCAGAACTTTGACTGGTGGGCAGACAGAAGCATGGCCTACAGGTGACAAGGACTATCTGCAAAGCTCTCATCTCACGTCCAGATATGTGATTTTACACCGCCTTGCTCTTCACAACTGGCTCCCATCAGCCCATTTCCACACCGTTGGCAAGCTTCTGGCAGGGTTCTTATTTCGAATTGGAACAAAGATGCAACTTGATCTGGGCAAATGGATTTACTATCACATCCTCACCCTGATTCATCCACGCGAACAGAAGGTAAGACTACCCTTTCCAAATCTGATTTATGGCATCCTTACCACTCAGGGTCTTGAGCATATGCCAGTGAAGTGATCAGCCCAACACTGCCCTATACTGTTGATAAACGTCTTCTATCTAGAGATCACATTCGGGATGTTGTTCCTGTGACTGCCCCATCCAATTCTGAACATGATGCTGTGCCTGATGACTCACCTCATGCTAAGGATGTTCAGCTTTCCATACAGTTGAAGGCAAGAGTTGCTGATCTTGAGACGGTGCACAGCATTATTGCAAAGCAACTGACAGGGGCCCGCACTGAGTTAGCTACTGTTCTTCTTCGTTTGAGCCTGATTGAAGGTACTGCTGCTGCTGATCCTGTGAAGTCTGACAGTGACTCTCCCTCTAATGCTTGATCTTTGGCTACCATTGGCAAAAGGGGGGAGTAGTATGAACTCAGGGGGAGTTTTTTTGTTTGAATACCTTCTGGCCCTGGCTGGGCGTTATGTTTTTGATCCTAAACTGTTTTGGATCCTATGTTTCTATTTTTATTCTATGTAATCAGTTCGGACATATGGGTTGCTTCTTTATAATAACCTATCTTAGCTCTTTGAGTTTATAGTCGAGTTGTTTTGCCAAATAATAGCCAAAGGGGGAGCTTGTTAGTGTTTTTAAATGTTCAAAAACCTCATACTATAATTGGCAATATTATTATGGCATTACTAAGATAGGTTTAGAGTCTGTCCGTTTAGCTCTACAGATAACTGATCAATCAGAAGCAACAACAGAAGGACTGACACTGAAGATCTGATTTAGGAAGATGATTTCTTAAAAGGCTTACGCGGTATTATCAGACTCATATGGAAAGATGATCAGCGTATATTTTCAAGAAAGGTATGGACCTAATCTTCTGCGATTACATTCCTCTTTTATAGTCCTACCTTCTACAATCAAAGACATCTATGGAGAGTGGTTATTGAAGGATCTATAAGTACCCTTATTCGAATAGAATTAGGGTTACGCCGAAAGTAAGAAGAAATACTCCATATCTGCTATATGAGATTAGATCTTTGATTGTCATGCATCTTCTCAATACAATATGTTCACGGCGATTAAGATGATGAACTTGAGAAGAGTTACTGCTGCTTAAACGAAAGGACACTGTGATCACACTGTTGTGGGAACAACTTTATAGAGTGTCATTGAAGTGGACTGCATCAGAGTGGGCTCTCCAAGTGAAGGGATTTCATTGGACTTCTGTATGCATGGCTCTCCATCTTCAACAATCCACTAGACCTGTGTAGACTGGGTTTGAACCTTGTGTGGGGCACTTGGGTAAGATTATTGTATATCTACCTTTGTACATTATCGTCCCCCAGACGTAGATACACACCGTATCGAACTGGGTAAACATTCTGTGTCTTTGGCTTTTGTGCGGTTGTGTTTCTCTTATACTCTCTTCATGATTTATCATTACTGATTGGGCTCTTATTTGAATCAATCAGTAATTTAATTCTGTTAATTTACTTAAAATGATGAATTGCAAAATTACACACACACACACACACACACACACACACACACACACACACACACACACACACACACACACACACACACACACACACACACACACACACACACACACACATATATATATATATATATATATATATATATATATATATATATATATATATATATATATATATATATATATATATATATATAAACCGGTTCCCGTGTGGTTGTGTGTGTTAGGTGCGGTTGTGAGGTGAGGTGAGATGAGAGTCATTGATTTTGTCACGATCAACGTCCAGATTAACAAAATTAAAAAAAAAACGTAGGGGCAATTTGGTCTTTTTGCATTTAGGTCAAATAATGTGCGTGGTTTTTATTCTTAAGGTGCGTGGTTTTCCTTCTTAAGGTGCGTGGATTTTGTGCTTAAGGTGCATGATTTTCGTACTGTGTGTTTAAGGTGCGTCAGTTGTTGAAAACATAATTGAATTGGTCTAAAACTTTAGGTGCATGATTTTCCTTCGTAAGGTGCGTGGTTTTCCTTCTTAAGGTGTGTGGTTTGTGTGCTTAAGGTGTGTTAGTTGTTGAATCTTAAGGTGTGTCGTCCTAAAGCTTTAGGTGCGTGATTTTCCTTTTTAATGTGCGTCAATCTAAAGCTTTAGATGCGTGATTGTCCTTTCTTAAAGTGCATTGTTTTCCTTCTTAAGGTGCATTGTTGTTCTTCTTAAGGTGCGCCATTATTACAATTTTTTTCATCCAATAGTACAATGACATCACCAAAGATCTCGGGGTAATGACTACACTTCTTCAAACCCAAGAAAAGAGGATCAATGAACTTACTGAAAAGGTTGAAAGCGGAAGAAACGACGAAACAAGTCGAGCTTCCAAAAAGCAGCCTCAAACCCAAGAAGAAGCGATTGACATCGAATCACCACATCATTGCATTAGGCCCATGGCAGGAATAGAAGAGACAATCTCTCGCCCACTGGCCGTTGAAAAGGTTGATCAAAATTCTAGGGGCATGATACGTGTCGAGCAGTTAAATGATTACATCATTGGAGCAATCAAAGGAAAGCTCGAGGGAAGACAACCTTCGTAGACTTATATTAAGCCCTATACACAGAGGATTGAAGAAATGAAGTTGTTGATGGGCTACCTGTAACACCCCGTGTTACGGCCCCTAAACCAATTAATTATTTAATCATTTACCCAAAAGAAAGAATTAAATTTCATTAATTAATTAGGAAGGGTCCACCATAAGCCCATGGACCCTTATCCCTAAAACCAATCCCTTAGTCCTATAGGAAATAGAATTAGCAAACTCATGCCATTTAGATCCTAATTAGGACTCTTAGATATATAAATAGGGACATAGGAGGCACCTAGAACTCACACCACAATAAGTTTCACCACACAAGAATTTTCATAGGAGAAATCAAGAAAGAAGAAATCTTAAAGAAAGACCCTTCATAGCCAAGGAAATTAATTAAGGCTAAGAGGTAACCCATGTCTCAACAAAACCTATTTTCCTTGCTATGATCTCCTTCTTTGGCTCCCTCTATATGCTTGTGTCTTGATGAATTCCTTTATGATAATCGTGATATAATCTTATTTGATTGATGTGATGATTCTATGTGTGATCTTGATGATCTTGATGTTAAAAAGAGGTTCTTGATGTTTATGTGATGATTCTTGATAAATCGCGATGTTTCTTGGTGTTAGAGATAAAATATGATCTTGATAATCGGGATGGGAATTAGAGCCCTAGGTTGGATTGGGAATTTGTATTGTGATGTTCTTGATTTATATTTGGGTGGGAATTCGCATGTTCAGGTGTTGTTATGTTTAGAAGTCATGTTAGGATGTGTTCAATATGATTCTAGCTTTTGATCCGTTAATTGCCTATGTGGTGTCGTTAATTGCGTTTAAAAGTGTCTAAGCATGGTTTCGAGTTCCACAAAGGATCACGCGGTCAAACACTGGGCCACCTGAAAGGGGTTATAAAAACAGTAGGAAAATAAACCCGTTAGCATGAATGCTAAGTATAAAGACACTAAACCCTGTAAAGTACTATAGATATACTTTAGATCCGCCACATCCGTATCAACGGAACCTCTAACTCGTGGGGGAGGTAGGACCTTCACGACTCGTGAGTGGACCTTTACAGGCTCGGCAATCTAGCCAACTTAATACTCAACTCGCCCATAGAACCGTTACTGTTGGTTCTTTAATCTTTCTTTCTTTCTTTCTTTCTTTCTTTCTTTCTCTGTGGAATCATGTATCGTACTTTAAGTGTGCACACCCCCTAACCGGGATTCCAAGCCTAGCGGGTAGTATCCAACCTAGTAACTCGGGAATATCGACCTCGTTACTTCTAAATATCTGTCGGCCCTCTGTGACCGTTTCTTACTCGGGAATATCGACCAAGTCACTTTCATATATCTCTTTCGGTTCTCATTGACTGTTTCTTTCTTTTCTCAAACTTCCTTCTTTCTCTTTTCTTCCGAAAGGACATAGTCCTAACGGTCATCCAAAATACTATTTTCCCCACAATAGATAGATAACATATATATCTCATGAAATTTTTTTCTCATGCAACAACTCTAACTTATGCAAGCTTATGCACATAATTCTCAACAACTTCTCTTTCTCACATTGTGGAAATCAAATATCATGTAATCTTCTTAATGCAAATATATGGTGATTTTCCAAAATAGATATAGGTTATGAAAATAGCTTAAGGCTTCACTTCGAGCCTTTACTGTACTTAGTCTTTAAAAGTGGCAAAATGCCCTTTTTGAATGCAAGTTTGTAAAATAGTGACTTATGCAAGCGTTCTCAATAATCTCAACAATTCTACTATCCATGAGCTAAGCAATGCAATTAGCACTATTAGTCAAATATTTCTTGTAAGAAAATGCTACTCTGATAATTCATAACTTGAACTCGAAAGTTAAACAAATACTCAAGAATCAATTTCATGCTTTGTCTACTAACAAGGTATTCACTATGACATGGAAATAAGCACTGCTTGATACTAAAATCTCAACAATTAGCATTTCTTCTCAATAAATACTTAACAAGTATTGATCATTCTTCTCAACTCAAAACATACTCAAATGCTAGCAAAACCTTTTGCTGTGAAATAGGGAATTCATACACTATTCATGCCAAATTCTCAAATACTTAGTAAAACTTCTCAACAACTACAATCAAGTATTTAGACATGCTTCTCAATCAAATATAAATACTCAGATGCTTCACTTTCATGTGCTGATATACTTCACAGACAACAACAACAACAAAGAACTCAAATTCAACATTTCTAACAGTAAAACATGCTTTCTAACTCCAAATTTAACGAAATTAACTTCTACTAGTGCGTCGTAACGAGCCCGAGTGTCCGAGCCTCAAGGGCCCATGAGTCTCGGTCCAAACAACGCGTAGCTGAGCCACAGAGGGCCCGGCCAGAACAACTTTTGGCCTGGCGGAGCTTGGTGATGTGGCTTGGGAAGCCCCGCCACTTGGCTCCTCCAAGCGGCGGCCCTGGGCGACCGATCTTGTCGAGATCCATCCCCTGGAGCCGTTGCTCCACGGTGCTAGCCGGCAAACCTCCTCGAGGTCCGTTGGCTAGCACCGTAAGGCCATCTGGTGCACCATACAGTGTGAACCAGAGCCTCATTCTTCACCTGTAGACATCTCGGATGCAAACCAACACTCCTGAACCTCAATAAATCAATCATAGATCAACAACAATTCACAAATAGCTCAACAACAACATTTATCTAACATTTCTACCCATTTATTTCTCATTCTAGCAATTCACAGAGTAAAAATATAGTTTGGGACTCCATGGTTTATACCTTTGTTTGTTCCTCTTCTTGTGTGGATCTCCCCT